CCTTCGGCATTCTATGATTCTATGATTTATTTTTTTCAGACCAAGCTATACGACAGAGCACAATCCACTTATCAGTTCCAGTATTTTCAGTGAAGAATCCAACAAATTAGGTTCAATACCTGCCTTCAGTTCAGTAAGATTCATGGCTGCTTATACTCCATACACGCTTCATTCAATTTCTGAAACTAGACAGACTGCAAGGGCTTTTCTACCTCAAGCATCAAGGCATACTGTGTTATCAGAAATCATTTACTTTTGGTATTAAGAGTGCCTAGTTTKCATTAAGAAAGAGAGAAATGCAAAGTGGTACACACAGATGAATTTACACATTTCCTTTAAAATCGAGTGTGCTGATAAATCAGTTTTATTGCTCTTCATCCATAAAAAAAAAAATTCACTACCTCTTCATATCCCAGRGTAGGACAGGAGCCCTCTAGAGAGGAATTTTACTGTACCTACTTACTGAAACACTTTAGTCTAGCTCTATTAAAAATGCAGCATTTTATGTTTTGAGATCCAGAAAGGCTGTGCAAAAATAAGTATAATTTTAAAGCAGTAGAACCCATAGCTAAAAATAAGCAACAATCTCTTAAATTGCCTTTTTTTGTGACTCTCAACCCTTTTTTTCTGGCTGTTATGGCAATGTTATTTTTCTCATTTTATGCAAAAATGCTCGAAAATCTTATGTAGAAGTTAGTTACTTGTAGGTGCTGTAAAGCATGATGTCACTTACTAGAGCAAAAACTGCAAATCCCCTTGGTGYAGTAGTTTCAGTTTTAAAAAGGAAGCAATAACAAGACAGTATTGAAAAGGCCTAGTAATAATAAAAACATAAGAAGTCTTACCAGTTGGAAAATTCTCTGCTTGACTCTTAAGTGTTCTTGAACTGACATCTGTACATTTTTCATTTTGAGAATATCCTAACAAATAAAAGGAAYGGCTAAGCACATAAATTTTACAAAATAATCATACTTTCAAAGAGCTTGTGGATCTGGAGAATTGCTAAAGAACATATCTAGTTAGATCTGTCTTCCTGCTTGCTTTACAGTTCAATAAGAAAGTACCAAAAGTATCTGAAGATCATTTCCCTCCTACTGAGGAGGAAGCTAGATATTCATTTCACTATTTTTACATGCTATTTCAAGAATTAGTGGAAATCAGAAGTCCCATCTAAGACCAAGCAAGAATTGACTTTGGTATTTTCCTTCTCTCTTCCCACCTATACTAGAAGTTGGCCTGTGCTGAATCTTCAGTGGATTAAGCTGTCCCTGATTTCAGTGATAACAATGCCTCCAGCCAATTTATGAGATACAGTACCTCGATTATTTATATTTATAACAAATTTAATACCTGGAGAGAGCAGGTGCCATTGTGAAAATAACAGCAACAAATATATAAAAAGTATAAAAGACATTTTCTCCTGCAAGCCTGCTTTTAGAAAAACAGATAGAATTAGTATAAAGGCATAATGTCAGTCTYCCTTTGAGCACATCTTTTGAAGCTATATGAAAAAGTAGAGGCAAGCAAACAGATTACAATACATAAACACAGGATTTTCCTACTGGTTATGAAAATAAGCAGTAACTAGTAAAGGGATTGTCTGTAAGGTCAATTGGCAAACAACATCAGCACTAGAAATTTAAATTCCCAAACATGGCACTTGGGCTTTGGCTCAAACCAAAATGAAGTCTGTCTGTAAAAGAGCTGAGGTCTAGGCTAACAGAGTTTAACAAGCATTAAGTACACCTTCTGGTGCAGGTTTTGTTCTAGTTCTTAGTTCTAGTTCTGCTTTTCCTGTTTAGTCAGAAATAGAAACAGATAGGGTAGTTGTCAAAAACTATGACAGCATGTCATCACTTTGATCATCACTCAACAATTGAAAGACAGAATTAGCAAATATTTGATAGACAAATTTACCATTACTAACATTTCTATAGAACCAAAGGTGGACTTTGCCTGAAAGGTTTTCATTGAGACATTATTATTCAACAGGTAATATCTTGTTTGAAAGCTGCTCCTTAATACTGCGTGGGATACTTGAATCTAGTATTTTTAGATATCAGTAGAGTTGCTTGTAAACAGAAAAACATGTTCTAAGCCATATGACATTCTCTTTCATTATGATGGCTTTAAGTATTTTCACATTCAGAAAGCTCTCATGCCTACTATTAAATTAATTTATTCACTGATTTTTAGAAAACAGCTACTTAACTCCTTCTGGAACTCTACTGTTATACCCAAAAATATTTCTGCATTTTGTCAGTGATGTGTTTTTTTCTTTTTTCCTTCCCCCTCTTCCTTCAAATGTAGTAGGTTTTCAATTGTCCAAAATCAAAGATAGCATTACATCTTCATATAAAAGGAATCAGGATTTTACTAAAATGGAAACATGCATTCCAATTCACTAATTCATCTTTTTATTATCTATATATGATATATAATTTTTTAACATGAATATAGAACATTTAATATGCCAATCCACACAGCACATCCATGGCAGAAACCCATCTGTTCTGCTGCATTTAATGGTTGTACAAGTATTTCAGACAGAAGCTCAAATGAAAAGCATGTGACAGCTCTGCTTGAACACAGCAAATGTTTAAAAATRCAGCAGTTTAAATAAAGAAAAATAAATACTAGAGTGACCAATACCAGAGGAGATAATGATGGGTCTTACCCATTCGTTCTTGAAAAGGCTTCTTCTCATCTTCATTACTGACATTTATGACAGCATTGGCCTCCTCACATTTCCATTCAGATGTCCAGCTTCCCTGCTCTACATTTTTCCTTTCCAAATTACCATCTTGCTTTCCCTCTGGACTAGGAGGGATTCCCTCCTCCATAACTGCATGAAACCTGAGCACAGAGGCACTGGCTTCCGCTCCTGCTGCCCTCTCCATAACTTGTGATTCCTCACAGCAACTCATTTAACAGTATCAAAAACCTGAGGAAAAAAATTACAACATATTAAAAAAATCTCAGTGTATGTGACCATGTTCAAGAGCTGTCCCTCTCCTGCAAGGGTAATTTTTAATTGTCAAACATAAAAGCATTCTTGAGTAAGCCACCAAGACAGAGGACACATTTCTATAAAGTACCACAGGACGGAAGAGAGAGCAAAGAAGGATATCACAGATAAAGTAATCATTGACATCAGAAAATATAACTTCTGTTTTTAAGTTCAATGCGTAGTTGAAGTGGAATCAGTTAAACAAAACTTCAAGGAATAAAAGTAGTGCTTGAAAACACAGTAGGTGGCTAGAAAAGAAAAAGATACAGATACCAAAGACAGAGATGGTGGTGGCAGGAAGGCATCACTGAATGCAGGAATGAAAGCAAAGCAGGGAATGGCTCCATGATAAATACCAAGTCACAGATGTGGACACTGGAACAGATAAGAAGTGAAGGAAATGCCTTCCTGCCATTTGTCATTGCTGCAYTTGAATTTTAATCCTGGACAAGACACTTCTTGACACCTTTGCATTCCTCCCTGAGGAACAGTAAAGAGGGGAAAAATCAATTTTAAAACATCATCAGGAAGAGTTCTGAAATAAGCCCAAGCTTCTCATATACGCCCTTAAAAATCCCAATTACCAATTTCAAAGTGTTGTTTTAAACATTTAGACATTCTGCTGATTTCTTAGGCACAACCTACTTAAGTTTCAGGTTGAGACACATGGAGCCAGACCATCCTGCAGAACATCTGCAGGATTCATATAGTCAGCACATGCCATGCTGGTATTTAGAGCCATGACTTGCACAGGCTCTCACGTGCCACTATAACTGATAATATAAAGACAAAGGTTCAATTTTACTTTAGTCCTGTCACTTAACACACATTCTTCCTAATATCCCCTTCTAACCTGTCTGGATTATTTTTTCTTTCTTTTCTATATGTAATAGAGTATCCTACCATAGGATACAGGCCTGCCACAAGCTAAACTTCATGTTGCAGGGGATATACTTTGCCATGTGTATAGCTGATGCTTCTTAAATAGTGACCCACTGCAATAGCTATTAAGGTTTTCAAAGTTGWACCATGATTATATGTAATACATTATGCTTTTCACTCATATACTTTATTTTTATATGTATTTGGTATTGATATAGAAATACTGAGATATGAAGAATAATTAAAATCCAGATGCAATTCAGTCTCATTGAGTCAAAAATTTTTAGATCAGAATTACTAATTTGAAAAGTGAAATTCAGCATTCAGTGTCAGTGTTTTCATCATTTCTACCCACGAACAGAAATATCTTCAACAAGATTTAAGAAAAAAGCATCTAGCATATGTGGGACTAGAATTTCAGGAATTCAAAGGATGAGCTGAAGAGATACTGATTAACTTTTTAACCATTTGTCTGTCCCCTGCTCGAGTGCCCACATGTTKTAAAGGTCACATGTATAAACAAGACCATGAGTGACCCTCTTTAGCAGGGTGCTGCAAAGGCATAGAGCAAGTGGGAGATTGGAGTATATCAGGATGGATGTGACCTGCTTAAGACTGAGCCATTATCTTAGATCCTAAACCAAAGAAGAACTCAACATGGGAGAAAATGAAGAGCAGTATGTTCCAATCACATTTTTCTCCTGTTTTTTCCAACAGAGTGAAAATTAAGATCTCAAACACATTTGACAGCCATGCTCCCCTCTGCAATCTCCTTTTCGATCCTTAATGTTTACCTTGTCTATCAATTGCAAACCCCACTCAGCAGCTGGGGAACACAATAGGGAAACAGGACACTTCTACTGGAAGCTAAACACAACAATTCTGTTATCATGCTTTTTCCTCTGGTGCTACTTCCTTTTCAGTGAATGCCTCTCTTTTTAAACAGAGCTAAAAAGAACATAGCTTGACATTTTCCATTTCCTTGACTATGTAGATTTAGTGTTTCTCTGCCATTTAGGAGTTTAAAAGGAGACAAAAACATTATCTGAACACTGTTTTTAATCTCCTGACAGTTTATTCCCATGAAAAATTGTTGGAAAAAAAAAACAAGTAACAACTGCAGAACAGGTTTGTTGTTTGTTCTGTCTTGGAAAATATTTCATAATGATGAAAAAGGGCCCAGGATTTTTAAAACATAGGTTATATTTTAACTAGTTGATTATAAAAGTGCACACAATAACCACATTTCTGTCTTGGTCATTTTCCCATGAAGATGCTCAGGAGAACTTGGTAACATGTAGCTTCAAGTTACCTGTGGCAGCTATAGCTGTTCTAGTTTTTACAGACATGGAAATTGAGACAAGGTGCTTGCAGCATGCAAGAATTCTATAAAGCACTGAGAAGACAACTGGAGAGTTCACCACTGCATGAATTCAGAGCGCTGAACTTAATCCCTCTTTATTCTACCCCAGGGGTAGAATACATGCTTGGAAATACCTRGGTGACACAACATTATCCCTAACATTCTTCCTCTGCTCATCAATCCCTGTCTTTAAGGGCACACTTAAGAGGAGCATCAAGTACTGCTTCCCTCTTCATTTTACCTGAGTCTCATGTTGACAAGATGCACATCTAAATTTAAAGTCTCTGGACTCTTCTAATCACTGTCCCTCTGCCCAGCAGCTGTGGTAGCCCCCCAAGTTCTTATCTTTGTCTGATGCAGCTYGACAGGTTCCTTCAGATTCTCAAACCAGGTGGAATAACTAGTGAAATCTATCACATCATCACCATAAAGCCTTGCAAACAGCAACATTGTCATCAAAAGCACATTTGCCTGCGCACACCCCTAGGTCCTGTGCTCTGCTTTGTCTTCTGCATGCCCTGCTGACCTTACTTGAGATATCCCAACTCACTCTTGCACCAGTACTGCCAGAAGGGCCAGATAAAAAGATAATCTAAGTCATTTTTCCATACTGATACTAGAGCAGTGGTATTACTGTTCTATTGACCCAGTTTCACTCAGCTCACGTTTCTTTTGCGTGTTATCTCTTAAGCTCCAGACATCTTACAAATAAGACTTAACTTCATGCTCTGATTGTAAATCACAGCCAGGCCTTGTTGTATATGGAATTCCATCACAAACATAAATTCAAGAAAATCCATAGCAAATGCAACACTTAAAACAATGCACTCCCTCCCTCCCCCCACAGTGCTGTTATGCCTTACAGAGAAAGGTAAAGCAAATCTGAGCTCAAGTTGCATGGACTTAGGAATCYGAGTGCCCTCTGGAAACAGAAGGAATAGACAGACTGTATTAGTGAAGGGATTTTAGGCTAGTTCGTGATTTTAGTTAACCATGTTGTAGTTCATTTTTAGTCCAAAACTACAAAAAAAATAGAAAACATTAAGTTTGAAAGATGCAGTAGATTTCTGTAGAAGTTTTGACCTTCTCATGATTCACTTTCTTCACAGCAGCACTGAAATGCATTACTTTTCACCTACAGTCACCAGCTGTACACTCAGCTTGGAATATTACAGTAAGTCCAAATTTGATGCCAAAATTTGGGACTCAGATCTACAATTTGGCAACTGATGAAAAATATTCATGTAATGGCTACTTCTGAAAAAAATCACATCCCTGTTAGAAAACTGGAAGTGACATCTACAAATCTCAACACCTCATTCTGAGTGCTGGATCTGACAGAGTTTGGCCTATGGCAGGCAAATACAGAAGGGAGAATCGCTTCTCTTTCTAAATAGCAGCTCAGCTGACAACATTGCCTAGAGCAGAGAACACAGCCACATTTGGTGAGCACATTCATGGGTCACGCTTACAAGTATTTTTCAATTATTTCAGTATCAGCACAAAGTTTTCAGTGCTATTGCAGCCAGTTAAAGATGTAATTTCAGTGCTAACAAACTGACAATAAACCTACGGTCAAATGCTAGACCACAGGCACCTAAAATGCATTAACAGACGAACATGCAGATACAGAGCATTGGTTTTTCCCTACCTTTTTGGAGAGATTTGTTTTAACATGCCAGTAAACAGAGCGATCTGTGCCGTCCTGAGCTCTGCTCGGAGCTGACTCCAATACAGCTCTTCCTGTTTGACCTTCTTATCTTTCCTGTTGATTGCACAGCCCAGCTTGAATGCAGTAAGAGCAAAAAGTTGTCTATTAACTGATGTTGTTAATTCACAAACTTTAAAAAAAATCATGGGTAAAGTTCATTATGCAAAGCAGAAATGCATCAAATGTGCTGGAAGGTTGATTCAAATGTGTTCTGGCTTTTCAGAGCAATAACTCATTTTGGCATTTTGCATTAGCAGCTAAAAGGCTCTGTGGGACAGATCCAGATCATTGTGCTAAGCAAGCATGGTTCACAAATAACATGTTTGTTGAAGGAATTGAAACTYCTTCAGAGTACCAGGCTTTGATTCCTCTTTGCTTTTGATCACAGATTTAACCTTTTGCTATCATCCCAGCTAYAGTTATCTTCATAAGGAATTATTTGGGGAGGAATTCGCTTTGATACATTTGGTTTTAAACTGCAGATGAGCATAGAGTTTTACAGATCCTTCACACACTGCAAATGCTCAATATCAGTTGTGGCATTAAGCAAATTTGATTTGGAATAAACATAGCGCATATTTTCCCCCATTATAAAAACTTCATCGTGGTTCCAAATGCCAGACCACTAAAGAGTCACACAAAGGTAAAGGGGTGACGGAAACTGAAAAGAAACAATYCTTCCCCAAATCTGTTTGTTTTTCCTTTTTCTCCACGCTGAGATGAGGATGACTATTTTCACCTTCTCTCCTTACATGAGATACTCCAAGTTTTGTATACAGTTAGTCTAGTCAGAGTTAGAAGACACTTCTTATAGTTAAGCACTGAATACCCCAAATGCTGCAGCTGTGGGTTGCCCATTGTAGCAGGCCCCATGCAAGTATAGAACAAATGACCATATCTCCACAAACATCTGGTACATCTGGTACCTCAGTTGCCTCTAACCAGCCAAATCCCAACACTGGGATGACTGGCTGCATACGTGGTGATGTGCACACAATGAGATGGTATCCAGAGACACTTATCATGGTTGGACAGAGGCAGGGGCTTGGTGGTGCCTACRGAACATGGCTGTGAAGCTGCCCTCCCTCCTGCCCCAGGGCTGCATCGAGCAGCCACAGGCCTTGGTGCCCATGAGATGCCATCAAGGCCTTGGTTGTGTCTCTGCCTAACTTCTTCCCTAAACACATAGGTGAAGTTTCTTCTCAGCATAAACTAATGATTAATTACAAATCACACTCTCGCTTATCCTACATTATCCAGCCACCCAGTGTTAACATGAATTATAAACACTATTTCACACAGATTGGCCAATCTGTTCTTGCAGGATGCTTGGGAGCGCTCCATCCTTCATGAACTTACGAGCTGGAAGGTGTTCAAGGGACTGCAGAAGGCTGCCTAAGGCAATCCTCACACAGGGGTTTCTCCTCCCATTGCTCTGTGCTTGATACTGCGCTACAGTGTGGTACACAAACCATGCTGCTTCAGCCTCGCTCACTTCGTATAGTCGCAACGCCCACGGCATGAAATGATTGCACTGTTTTACAAACTGACTGATGTTCAAAGGAGCCTACATTTGGTTAGACCATGTATTTTACTTGTATTTTTGTATTTCTGGGAACAATATATTATAACCTCAGTTCTCCACTGTAATACCTGTTATTTCTTCCTTTATGTGGAATCCAGAAACTTAGGTTTTTTTAAAAAAAACAAGTCTAAACCTTTTTTTCCCCTCTCTAATGAATGACAGATTTCATATCATCTGTGTTTCTGTGGTCCAATTGCTGCAGAATCTCTATACATCAGTCACTGAGCAGTGTCCCCGAGATATTTCATAAAACAAATAATCTTTAAGGAAAAAAATAAGACAAAAAGGCAACTTGCTTAAGGAAACAAGCAACAAAAATCAAAAACTGAACTACAGTTCCTTAACCCCCTTTTAGTATCTGTTTCTTCACCTCGCCTTTTAAGAACAGTGCCAATCCACATTACAGAAGTATAATTTGGTAACCATATGAAAGCTGTGAACACCTGCCCTCAGGAAACAACTCCTGAGACCAAATTGTAGCCAACAGGGAAACCACAAAGGTAGCACAGAAGGGTTTCCCTACTAGTAATTTTATCTTTTATATTTGAAGCACTAGGAGCTTGCTATTGTGGGAATTGTGGCACTTCTTGTTTTCCTTATGCTGAAGCCCAGCTTTGAGAACATTTCTTGTTTACCTATTAAAATTGCATGAAGAGATGATGCCTCCATTCATGTTTGGCTGTCCCCGATTTTCAGGATTATTCAAACAATTTGCCAGGAGGCTGACAAGGACATTGCTCATAGAAACAGGACATTTCCTCTAATTGTTTCTCTGGCACTGCTTTTCACCATCCTGTTTGTCTGCCCTTCTGCAGCTGCACGTTTGTCTGACAGCTTTTGCCTACAGCAGCCGCTATTTGGAAAAACAACACATTTTAATATTAAGGCTAAATTTTAACTTTTAGCTATTTTTCCATTATAGCTGAAGATATACCTACGATTGAAAATCTTATTCTGASACTAGAACATCTGTCTTTAACATTCAAGGACATCTGCTGAAATGGAACTCCTTTGGAGCCCCTATTTGTTGATAAATAAAAGCAAATACCAGAGTTAGGCACTTATTTCTGAATTCTTCTCTGATGTATTTCATCTCAAGCCCACTAAACATTAACATTTTTTTCCCCTATGGTGAATCCTGTAATAAAGCAGTCCTCTCCTACTTAGTGAGTTACTCAAATTAGCAGTCTCCATTAAGTGTAACTGTTGTCCGAAGCCACACAAGACACTGCTTCCTCAAATTAGTCTCTATAGGTCCCTATTTCATCCAGTGGCTGATGTGTACACGTATAAAATGCAGTATAATACAGTCTGAACTACAAATTTAACAGGGTGGAAGAAAAAAATCAATTCAACACCTAGATAGGAAATCTATACATTTTGAAGTATGAACTTTACAGTAGCAACCATTTTCTCAGCAGAATTAACCTAACTGCATTGACTTTAAGAGGACTACCAAGATACATCAATATTAGTTGTGTTAACTTGTTCGCACTAGGATTACATAACACTTAGATAAGATCAGGTATGGCAGTATGTGTTTGCTCTGTGGAGCTACTGAAAAACTTAAGAGTGGTCTCTCCTGGAATCCAGTCATCTTTTCTTCTTCCTGGTTGAAAGCCAGATAGCTTTACCTTCCCCAGTCTTAAAAAGAGGGACACCCCAGCTCCACCATCTGCTTTACAGAGTAAAAACAGGCAAAGAAAAACATACTTCCAYCCATCAGTAAGGAAATGCTGTCGCCTTGTAGTCTGCAGGAAAATGCTGAGTCAAAGCATCCAGCTGTTACGTTACTTAAACTCTATTCTTAGCTATTTATCTCACTCACTAAATAATAACTGTGTTTACTTCCACTTCTCAGCTGCTAATAATGGACATTACTGTGCCTGTTACTCAGCAGCACAAGTCACAACAGGGCCTACACCTGAAAAGCTTCCTTCTAAGCTTAACAGCCACTGAGAGGCAGTGGCTCGCTGAGAGCACTTTTGGCTACAGACCAAGAAGTCACTAAGTTCAAACCGATGGAAAGATAGGAGCTCACATTCAAGTCTAGGCAGCCAACAAGGTCCATGCAGGATTCCCAGTTTTGTTCTAGCTGGGCAGCAGTTCTTACATTCCATGTGGTAAGAGAGGATAAACCTTTTAGAACAGCTTCATCAGCTAGAAAAAGAATTGATAATTAACTCTTACTAATTAGAAGATTAGKCATTTCTTACCTTGGTCCTCTAGATCACCAAAAATGTCTTCCATGCCACATCATGGGTAACAGCCTTCCCTAACTGGGCACAACTCTGGGCTCAGACACGTTCCAAAAAAGCTCTTGCTTTTGGATAAGTGAAAACCAAAAGCACCCAGGCAGTTTGCATTTAGAGAGTCCAGTTTAGAGACTTAACTTTAGCTGAGTTTCTTTTGCTTTTAACTCTGAAAGCTATCTGGTGAAGCAAAAATCTTTATTGCTTGCCTTAGGTACCATAAGTAAGAAAATACCTGCTAAAACACCTCCCTAAAATAGTTGATAAAGCCCTAAGAAATTAGCACCATATTTTAACATGAAAACCACAACATTAAATTATTTTATAAACATTAAGAAAAGAAAAATTATCTAAATTTAACTTGATTAAGCCTTAAACCCTCAGAGAACACAAATTAAAAGTCCTATAATCACTTACTATTCTTAACAGCCTAAAACAGCATTTTATAGCATTGTGGGTGATTCACAAGGAAATGGGTGCTTCCTTCTATGGAATAATCAGGTGATTTGATTTTGTTGGCTAAAAGATTGCTTTACCAGCTGCTTGAAGTTGCCAGGTAGAAATAATAAGAGTTTTATCAAGAAAACACTTAAAATCCTCAGCTCTGGTTTGTACCAGTACTTTTATTGGTAATTCTGAAGGTTTTGTTATCTGTTTGGTGGTTTGGTTAGTACTAGGAACTAGCATGAGGGAATTTTATTGATGGGAATATATAGAGAGAGTATAGGTATATCCCATGTTATGTGGGAATATTGAGGAATTATGGTTTTACTCAGGTGTCTCGTGAAGGAAAGATACTTTGCTATGGATTCAGGGGAAAGAAGGGTTGAATTTTGTCTCTGCTGGTGATCTGTGGAACAATATGCTAAAGGATAGTCCTGGAGGACCCAAAACAATGGACCCCGATAATGCACCCTCAATGAGAAGCTAGGAAGAAAAACTGACTTTGTAATGAAAAAAATGTGTGACTTTTATTTGCTCTAATCTAGTATTCTTATAGTTTGTGTTTAACATGTCTACTGATCTGAACAGTATAGAAAATACTATAATGGTGATWTTTGACTTTAGCAAATAAAAATCAATATCTGCATCTAGGTAAAACTAGCAGAGGAAAGTGGTAGGGATTTCTTGAAAATACACCTGTCCTCTAGTTGCTCCCTGAAGAAGAGCTCACGCATGCAAAAATGAGTCTCTTTTTTCTTTTTTTTTTTTTAAGAAATACAAATTTCTTAATTTATCCTTCCTGCTAAAATTTTAAGTGAGGTAGTTGTTATATTTATATGTTATAATTTTCACTCCTAGGATAGCCTAGGAATTTGATGTCATACTGCAGCAACACCTACAACTAGCTCTTATAGCCCAATGCTATCAGTGTTACTCAAAAAGCTTTACATGAGAAGTATGTAAATGCATGCCCATCCTTTACAGAAGGATGGGGATGATGGAAGATAAGAACATGCCTAAATACTTCCAGGAGGATATCAACAGTGTGAGCACTGGCAACCATAGCCTGTGCTTTTTCTCATAATRTTACCTGAGAGCAAATTTTGAGCACACTAAGGAAGGAAAAAAAATCCACTGAGGGTCATGTTTGGGGAATTTTTGTGCTTGTATAAGGTAGAGCTGTGCGAAAGGATGGCGTTAGGATTAGGGCTGCTTCTTGAGTTCAGCCAGCTCAGAGCAGGTAGAAATCAAACTTCTACAGCTGCCTATCTCCATACGTGTTTGAAGATGATGGTAATCAGTGTTTGGAGCAAAAATGARTGACATTTCCATTCTTCCTTATTTTCTAGTTGCTTTCTGAGCATACATTATCCACAAACCTCATCCCAAACTTTCACTTTTAGGTAAGCTTGGCCTAACCATTACATATGGACTGATACCTTCAGCTTTCATCATTAAGGTCTGGAAAGCAATTCTGAGAGTATGAGACGGCTTCGAAGCAGCTCTGGACATCCACAGGAGCATTCACCACAGCTGTGTTTTCCTAAGGACTGGTATCTTCAAGCCCAGGTATATTCCCCAGTAGAACTTGGTGAAAGCTTTCATGCATATTGCAAGGCAAAGTCTTAACTTACAGATGTTACTATCTGAGAATTTTATCACCCAGGAAGAGTCTATATTCTGTGAGCATAATATAGTATTTTTTTACATGAGGATAGTGCTGGAAATGCAGTGCAAGATAAGCAATAGCAAGCCAGCATCCATAAGCTTGTCTTGGAAAACATAGAGTTAAATAGACTCAAGACAAATTGATTGAAATACCTACTGGAAATGAGAATCTCYAGGCTCATATAAAGGATAATTTTCCGCACAGCCAAACTGGCAGAGGGTGATAATAGGCTTCATAAGTATTAGCTTCTGTGCATCAGTAATATAGCTCTTGCTTGTGTACTACAGAAGCACTAAGTTGCAACTATTTTGATATTTACAGTCATGAACATTCATTTTGCTGGCTGGATAGACTGTGTACCTTTGTATTGAAATCACTGCAAGCTTCCTCTGCTCCTCTCAAATTCAAATTGATTTTTCCCAATTTTTTTTTGCATGTGTAGAGATGTTTCTATTATTAATTTTACTGGCCTCTCCTCAAACTAGTCATTGCATCCATATATATGCACATTTCATTAGTGTGACCTGTGTCCTTTTTGTTCTAGTTTATAAACTATGCATTGGTGCTAGACTGCAGCAGTCTCTGATATTAAAATTTAGTCGTTCCGGCCAAATTTCCAAAAGCTGCCTGCTGACATGACGGAACAATCCTTGATTGTCCCCTTCTAACAGAGATTTCTTTCATCCCCTGCCATCGTTCCCTTTGATGTTATTTCGTTCTTTCAGATGCCTTGGAGTTTTATTTGACTTACTGATTGTAATGCATGTGGATTTGTAACTGATGTTAGTGAGTTACAACTATCATGTAGTTCTGCCCACAGCATGAGAGATTTACATGAAAGTTGYTACAGACATCTCAATATTGCAATCAGACCTCTCCACGTTATGCTTTGTTATTATTTCATTTCAGCTGCTTCRCCCTAATTCATTATTTATACATATGTGTACTCCTGGCTTAATGAATAGTTGACAATTTATTTTCCTACCCAGAGACTCATTTTTAAGATCCTAGTCTGTTATTCTTCAGCCGCAGATTTTGCTTGTATTTCATTTATTACCAATGCCCCAAAACAGCATTTGTCAAACAGGAGTGTGCTAGAGAGGTAGCTATGGTCTCAGGCACAAACAGGTTGAAAACACTGGATTAGATTTAAAATTATGTTAATTCAGGTCGTTACCAGCTGTAACAGAGACAAATCTTCCATGTAGTCAGGACCTGAATTCTTGAGACATACGACTCAAAGAGTAGCAACATAAATATTTGCAACATTCCTATTTTATAGGAGGTTTCCTCACACCAAAGAAAATCAGTAAAAAGCAAAAGAGGGGTCATAAAAGTATGTCATGCCAGGTCGCTAGTCTTCTGTGACACAAAACGATTGCTATTTTTGAAGTAATAGGAAAAGGACAAATTTCTGGAAATTTATGGAACGCATTTGAAGGATATTTTGTCAATTAAAATATAAATACTTTATTATAGAATTGAAAAATTGCTTTTCACCTTTCAGGGGCATAATAGTTGTCAAAGGAGGGCAACCTGGAGGGAATATGAGTGTAGTAATTAAAGTACAAAAATAATAATAAAAAAGCAGTTTCTTAGCTTAAACTCAGTTCCATCTAATTTAAATACTGAGTGGCCTCTTAGTCACAGGCTCAACTAGCATCACCCAAAGCATGCTTCAAAGTCTACTATTTGCAAAGAGGATTAAAAAAGCAAATTGCAGTTTTTCTGGCAGCCGGATCTCAGCGGTGTGAGTGCAGAACAAGGGCGAGAGGGCTGCTGCTGCTGCGCAGGTGCCTTCATTTTGCTCCAGCATTTCAGCTCACGGGATACGTAGCATGGATATTCCCGTGTCTACCATGCCTTAACGGGGTTCTGTGAGGTCCCCTCCAACTCACCTGGCAGGTGTCACCAAAACTGAGCATCTCAGAAAAGTTTTTGCAGGAATATGGGTGGCAGAAGGCTGCAGAATGGAAAACAGGTAATACAAAAACTTAGTGACACACAGTGTTAACCACTCAGTGAAGGAACTCCAGGATAAAGGGCAGACAAGTGACAGATAGCTGGGTACTACTGTAGTTACAAGTCATCAGCATTGGGGAATAACTAAACAGGAGGCAAGGATGGAATCTAATAGAGGTGTGTAAATTCATGAGTGACATGGAAAAACTGCATAAGGAATATTTTGTATATTGTCTCTTCTACCACAAGAATGAGCAGGCATCAAACAAAGGTAGCAAATGGCAGATTTGGAAGAGAAGTGAGTGGTTCTTCTCATCACAAGGCGAAATTCCTTGCCACGGGATACCATAGTTGCTTGAGGTTTATGCAGTTTCAAAGATCAACTGGACAAAATAASAGGAAAACAAATCCCTGGCAGACTTTCCAATACCAACTAAACACATGTGGCTTGGGAAGGGYAGAAGCCCTCGGAGAAGGGGGCCTCGCTGGGCAGCCCCAACAGAAAACCTCTGCAGGCACCTGCAAGCGGCCGCTCCATGTTTTTCCGTGTCCAGTGAGGATCCCAAGAGCCTCCCAACCGAGACTCATATCCTTGAACCACCATGGGCAGCACCATGTTCWTGGACCTGCCTCTGGTCGTGGTGGTTCACATGTAACCAGCACTAGAGCTGTTGGTGCTTGAGTCGCAGCACGAGCGTGGGGAAGATGGGTGGGTTTGATGACTGCAGAGGGTGTGATGAGCTGGACTGTTTCCTTTGCTTTTAAGATAAACGGTTTATTTTAGGAAACTATTGAAGGAACAGAGTGGAATAAGCACTTGGGTATCATTGCAGAGCCCSGGTCTTCTCTACTCTTCAGCTGCCTGTCCTGTAACATCAAAGCCTGAATGTAGGCTGGGCTCAGCACCAAAGGACCTGGTGAAGCAACGCGACTGTATAGCAATATCGAGCTCCTGCTGAACATCTTACAGTGACTGCTTTTATTTTCTTTAAATGCTTTTCTTTAAATGTCCCTTTCACAGCAACACTAGCTGCCTTTTGATGCAGTTATACTTATCCTATATTTAAAATACGGGATAAGCTGGTCAGACACCTGCCATGTGCGTGTCCCCAAGTGTGACAGCCTGCGAGGGCTCCTGTGCTCCTGCACGCGCTCCCTCTCCTCACTTAACCACCCGCCTGCGGCAGCCGCGGCCGGCGCTSCGCACACGCGGAAATCCCGGCTCCTCGCCCTGCTGCGGAGCACGTTGGAGCCGCTGCGCGCCCGTGTGCGCCCTGATCCCTGCTTTGTGTGATCCTCGGGAATGGCAGAGAGGGAAGGCGGGAGGATGCGGAGCCGCCGGCGCTTCCCGCGGACGCACCTGCCCGCGGAGGCTGCTGCGCGGGGCGGAACGGCGGGAGCTGCGGGAGCTGCGCGGGGCGGAGGCCGCTGCGCGGGGCGGAGGCTGCAGCGCGGGGCGGAACGGCGGGAGCTGCGGGAGCCGCGCGGGGCGGAGGCTGCAGCGCGGGGCGGAACGGCGGGAGCTGCGCGGGGCGGAGGCCGCTGCGCGGGGCGGAGCGGGGCCGGTGCCGCACGCGGGGTCGCGGTGACGGCGGCGGCGCTGGCGCCTCGCGCTGCGCCATGAGCACCGGCACAGGTAGGCGGGCGACAGGGACACGGACGGGGCAGAGGAGACCCCCGCATTTCTGACCGCTCGGATGTATCTCTGTGTTTATACATATAGATATGTATAATGTATCTATTTACATGCGCATATGTATCTGTGTGTGCGCGCACGGGGGGAGGCTCTGCGCGGTGCCGCAGCCTGGCGCTGCCGAGAGGGCGACCCTCGTGCGGGGCTCTGCGGCACCCCCGTGCAGGGGGTGGGGGGACAGTGCAGGGTGCCCCTTTTCCTTCTCCCCCCGCCGGATCCTGCCATGGTGACCCCGACTTTGAGCCCTGCTCGGCGGGAGGGCTGTGGGGACCCTGCGCTCTGCTGTGCTGGGTGGCAYTGCGGCTTGGGGTGGCTCTTAGGGGCGCAAATCTTGCAGCCTCCAAGGCAAACGCAGGCTTGTGCGTTTGGTGGRGTGGAAGGGGGGAGCTCGGATGCAGGCGGCGCCGTTTCTCGCTGCGGTCCCCGCGGGCGCTCGGCGCAGCGCGTGCCGCGGGCGACGCGGAGCCACTGCGGCTACGGGCGCGGGTCCCCGCGCGGCCCCGCCGGCCGTGGGAGCGGAGCGGAGCGGGAGCGGAGCGGCCCCCGCGCCGGGCACTGCCCAAACGCAGAGCCCATGTCCAGCAGCGGCCGGTGCGTGTGTGTGTAAGGGCAAAAAGTGATGGGGGCACCAGAGATCCGGCTTTTCTGAGAGCAGAGGGGATGGAGACGGTTAACTTGGACGTCTCCATCTGCAGTGGAGAGGATTGGGCCCGRGCGCGGGATCCTGTTCTTGGTTACCCGTCTGTAATTTTCTGCCGGAGGAACCCAGCCTTGTGGAGCACTTGGATTTGGTGGCGGTGGAAGCTGGGCTCGTGGAGAGAATATTGAATCCCATGGCTGGCTCTGCATGATATTTAAAAGGCAAATTAAATAGGCTTGTATGTTATAAACCCAGAGAAAAAGTTGGAGGATGAGAGAGGGTAGTGCAGATGAGACTTGATAGGGTTTTATCTCAGGAATTGCACCAAGGAGGGTGTAAATGACATGGTGAAAATGGAGAGAGAAAAATAACATCTTGGGGAAAAAAAAAAAAGAGAGAGAGAGAGGAGGGAAGAGCTTCCCGAGATACCTCAGTTCTTATTTTAAAGTAAAATTGGCAGCTTTGGGAGTGTTGCTTTAAGTATCGTTTTAGCTTTGGTATTTCCAGATTCGGTGTTTGTGTGTCTGTGTGAACCATATAAATTGACAGTCAACCTCCATTATACGTTAATGCAAGGAGGCCACACTTACCCTGTAAAGTCTGTTTACATCAGTAGGCAACAAAAAGTACAACAGCTTTGCTAGTACAATTAATTTAAGTGAATTTACAGCTCACAGATGATTTCCATCAAAATTACTGCAGGAAAGACCTTTCAAGTGTTACCGTAACCTKAAGATGCTTCCTGTTTGCAAACACAACAAGGGAGTTAAATCAGCTCAAGAGAAGGTTTGGGGAGAGGTTGATCTCTTTAGTTGTCCAGGAGAAATATTTTCCTTTGGTCTTCCTGTTGGTCTTCCAAAGGAGTGATGTGGTGTGGGTCTGTGCTTGTTATGCCCAAACCTTGCGAGCACGTGGCTCCTCAGGTGCTGATGCATCATGTCCTCAAGTGCTCCCACCCCAAGGGCCTTCATAGCCCTGTGATGCTCCTCTGCCTCTCTAACCATTACATTGGGTTTGCAATATTAAAGAGGATTGGTGGGTTTTATTTTCTGTGGTGTGTTTTATTTTGCAATGTATAGATAGAGATTTGAAATGCCCCAGTATGTGCTCTGAACATCACACTACGTTAATGAACTGCAAAGTTTTGATATAATTTTAAAACGAAGAACATCCTTGTGTGACACTGTAGACTACAGCTGAAATGTGTTATTTCATCATTAGATTATTCAACACAGATTTTTTTTTTTTAATTATCTGAATTTCTTATATTTCACATTGGGGTGGACCCTTGACCTCTTGGCTGAAACTATCTCTAAAAAAGCTCCTTCCATGTCCTCACCCCATGAGGTTTTGCATGTTGTGTATGTGCTTTTAGGCTTCCTAACTCATTTGTATTTTTCAACTTGAACCCATAGCAAGAAGAACAGAGTAGGTTAAAACTTTTAAGACTTAGAAAATTAGGTTCCCATCAGTTTTCAGAAATAGGGTAGCATGATGCCGATTATTTAAGTGCAAAAAAAGGAATCACAGAGCTAATTACATGCTAGATAAATTATTTTAGATTAGATTAAATTAGATATCATGACACAAATGGCTACTTAGTCCTCAAACTATTATATTAGAGGGAAAATTGGATTGCATGGATCAGAGGGCAGCTAATGGGGTGTCACAGCCCAAACGGAGCACAAAAATAGTGATGCTGGTTACAAAGGACCATTGGTCACTTTGGTTCCTGTTCTGCTTGCGAGGCACTGAATTCTTTATCAAAGCTCATGTGAAAATATGGCAATACTAATTCCGTCTGGAAATGCTACCATGGTTGGCTCAGGCTGCAGGACATTTTACAGTAAAATATACCCTTTTCCCCATACTTTCAGCCCTTTATTTTGAGCACAGGTAAAGGAGAGTATTCAGTTACTTGATGGAAGCAGCAAGAGGTCATCTTGTCTTGGAGGTCCCCTCAGCCTAGTTAAGTATGGACACGTGAAGATTATAGTGCAGAGTCATCCATGCTCTGTTCGTCAACAGAATTAGAATTACTTCATTTCATTGCCTTTTTAGCCACAGTACACTTTATCTGGAAAATTAAATAATGGCRCATATTTCATGCTGATGATTTCTTTCTATTGAAAGAAAATTGTATTAAATTGTATGGAATATATATTTTCTTCTTATAGATCCTGGCAGAATAGGAAGTCATATCTTGCATTTCTTTAAGGGTTTTGGATGAAGATTTTTCTTTCCAGCCATTTAGAAAAGGCTTTTAGCTCGATGTGTGACATCTGTGTAATGGCATCATGTTCTTAGTCTGTAAGAACAGAGCGTGTTGCATGAAGATGAACTAGGTCAGAAGAGATGGTCGGGTCATAGCTGCACCAGCTGCCAACTTCTGCTGTCAGAGCTTCCCGTGCTGCCCGAATACCCCCAGTTGAGCCTGTTCTCTAGCCTTTGGACAGGGAGCACCTTCTGCTCAAAATAAATGGGAGGTTTTCTGATCGAGGTCCATTTTTTGCCAATTGGCCCATTTGCAGCAGAAAACAGGAGCTGGTGTGAAATGCACACCTCGCTGCCATTGCGATACAGTGTTTAAGTTGTGCCTTTGGTTTTGCTTATTGGGACACCTGTGATTTATGTTCTTTGCACCCAAAATCGATTGAAATGCAGGTATTGTGGTAACATTGTCCTCTTTTACCATCTTCTATCCAAAGGGCCAGTCAATCCCCCTTCCTGCTATCCAGACCGCCAGATCCAGCCTATTAGCAGTGGAAACATGGCTTTCCTGGCTATTGCCAGCCTTAAGCTCCCAGCTGCACTCTTCCTGCCCTCCTCCCAGGAAAAAGGTCGTACCCTTAACTCCCCTTCACAACGTGGGGTTTCAAACCAAGCATTTGCAATAACGAACTCAGTGCATTTGTGTGAGGAAATGCAACGTGCAGCGTGGGGTTGCAACCAAGGGGAGCAGTGATACGAGGGGATACAAGGGGAGCAGTGATAACTAGGTGGGTGAGAGCAGGTGCAACCAGCCAAGCTGTTGCCTTCCTCATCCGCCTCTCCAGAAGAGCAGTGTGAGACGGAGGGCAGCGGACAGGCCCTAGGGATTCGTGGACCATTTCTTGGTTCTCTGTCTGCATCCTTAAATATACCCTTAGGGCAAATTTTTCTGAATTTAGATTATTCCCTGTGTCAGAATCTATTAGTGGTGTCTCAACGCCTTTAAGTGTTAYTGTCTGAAATGTTAGAATGTTTTTTCTTCACAGCTTATTAGTTGGTGTTATTGGCTAAAATAACACCAACTGAAATTGGCTCTGAAATTGAGATGGTGCATTGTTTTGCACAGAGCACTGTATTTATTTTGCCATTTTGGAAAGGGAATGTGAGATGAAAATAAACTCCGTTCAATGAATATTTCTGCCTGCTTCAGGATCCATTTTCCCGCTTTCTYCCTAAAAACAAAAATCTTCTACTGGCATTAGACAAATTGATCCATTCTAGCGATTTTCATGTTCTTTTAGCACAAGTTGCTTGATCTGCAGTGAAGGAAAGCAAATCCTAAATGCAATTATCCATGAAAATAAATATTCCTCAATAGTAAAGCATCAATAGTGACTTGTAATAAAAAGCTGCATTTTAAAAGCATTTTAATGTTCCTGTAGTAGGGAGTTTTTACKGTTTAAAAGCTGTTATTTTTAGAAGTAATATTGTTCTTGTTGAACTATCGCTCAACAAGAAACTGTAATTACTCCTCCTGGTAAATATGAGGAGCAAGCATGGCAGCTTAGTTATTATTGTATAGTCACT